AAATTTGCAAATTCAGTCTTCAGCAAGAGGGTACCATTTTGCAGTAAGACATAACAGTAAGCATCTGTCTTCATCATTCCACTGGAATGTTAGGACTTAACATTAATAATAGCTGACATTTTTTGTCGTTTCTTCTCAGCGGACCCGAGAGTGAGCGAGCCGGTTTCTGGTAAGTGTCTCAGTGAACAACTACATGCTTTTTCTAAACTGACTGAACTAAAAAGGGTCAGCAAAATTGATGATTTCGCTATTTTACTACTTAGACTTCTTAGAAGATCAGGTGTGAATGTTTACCTAATACACCGATTAACATTTGAGAGCCTATGATGTTCTAGGGGCAAGTCAAGATATTTCAAAACTTGGTTTCACACATATGATCATGTAAGCTGAAATTTTCTGTTCAATAACGAAGTCAAAATATGCTACCCTCACCAGGTATGGTGGTAGATACTTGTAAATACAACAATTTGGGAGACTGAGGCAGGAAGATCTCAAGTTTGAGGCAAGCCTTAGGAACTTGGAGAGACCTGTCTCATAAAACAAAAAAGGACTGGGGATGTGGCTCAGTGGTAAAGTGCGCCTGGGTTCAATCCCTAGAACCATCATCCCCTCAGTAAAACTAAAAAAAGATAAACCGTCTCATTTCCACTTTTAATAACATATCACATCAAAGCAGTTGTTTAAATTTTATATTCTGCAAAAAGGAAACCTAAATTTGTTCCTCAACGATAGCCAGCATCGAGCACTGCAGAGGTTACTCAACAGCAAAACACACTGTTCTGAGATTTCTCTCACTGTTACTATTGACAGGAAGGAACTTATTTTGGATTTACTTTTTAAAACCTTTGTATTTTGGGCTCCAATAATTGTACTGGAAAAAAAACGGGTACCAACAAGTTGGCAATGAACTTTGCAGACTGCTTTTGGAAAGCTTTTAGGACATCCCCTCAGTACCCAAGAATCAAGATACTAAATTCAAACTGTGTTTTGCTTATGCAGCAGGAAGAGATGCCATCTGGACTGAAAGACCCTTTAATTCAGACTCTTACTCAGAATGTAAGGGCAAACAGTATGTCAAAAGAACGTGGTATAAAAAATTTGTTGGAGTGCAACTGTGCAACTCTCTAAGATACAAGATTTATTTGAGCGACTCACTCACAGGTAAGCAGGGCAACCAGCATTATTTTTAGCCTTTGCCTTCAGGGAATGTTTTGCAGCATTTTATAACATGGTTTTTTTCATGGAGAAGTCCAGGAACTAGGGGGTAATTCAGCATCTTTAGTTTTCCTAAGAAAAAAATGTTATTGAAATTGTCACACTGCTAGAAAACAAGGACTTAAAAGATGCTTTTAAGAAGTAAATAATGAAAATGCAATTTTGAAACCATGCTGTCAAGGCAAACTTGAATGTACAGGCACTAGCATATTCATCTTTGTTACAAACATTCTAGGATAAAAAACATATTAGTAATAAAATGAATGTGTCTAACAATAATCATGGAAAGAGTATTTCATCTTTATAATACCAAAAGGGCTCTAACCTCATGTAGTTGTAATTTTCTATATTCATAAACATTTTTAACAAATATGCAAGGATGACCCAACATAGAAACATGCATCTTTTCTTTCACTTAGCAAATGCTATATACTTCATGCCAGGCACTCTTCTAGGTGCGGATGGCAAAGCAGCAAACAAGACATATTCCTGCTTTCATGTAACATCTCTCTCTCTTCCTTCTCTCTTCAGTAGAGGCACACAGACAAAAAATAAATATGAATTTTATACAGGTGCTTTGAAGATAATTTTTAAAAGATTGGATTTAAAGGATTGGAAGTGCCTTTAGTTAGAATGGTTTTAGGGAAGCTCTCTGAAAAGGTATCACTTCTGCTAATAATAATATTATGAGAAGGAAGCAACCACACAAAGGTCAGGGGGACAACAGATGTATAGACAGGGGAAAGAAAAAGTGCAAAGACTGAGGCAGAACACACCTGGTCAGTTCCACTATTGTAGTACAGACAGGGGAACATCAAACAAGCAGGGCTGAATACATGGAGCTTTGAAATCAGGTAAGGAGTTTTAAGTTTTATTCTCAGTATAGTGGGAGACCACTGGAGAGGTTTAAAGAGGGTAGTAACATCTCACTTGCATTTTTAAAAATCAGTCTCTGAAGGGAGGGAAGGAAGAACAGAGAGGAGACAAGAATGAAAATAAGAACACCTGTTGAATCAAGAGACTTTGGTAGCTTGAACTAGGCTGATACAGGAGTAGAGGGGAAATATCCAAGAACAGGAAGATGATTCTTTCAAACAATTTATTTCAGAATTGTCACATATCAAAGCAATATTTCATTCTTTTAATTTCTGGTTCTTCAGGAAAATTTTATAACATTGGCGATCAAAGAGGCCATGGAGAAGATCACTGCCAGTTTGTAGATTCGTTTTTAGATGGACGCACAGGACAGCAACTCACTTCTGACCAGTTACCCACAAAGGAAGGTATGCTTTCTGATCCTTCTCATGAGCAAGAGAGCTTTCCAGATTAACTCAGAAAGAAATCAAGCTGAAGAAAGTCATCAAGTTAAAAAGAATTCTGCAGACCTACTGCTCTAATTACTTGGCTAGAAAAAGCAATAAACTTAAGTTTCTCTACTTAGAGCCAAGGAAAGTTACACAGACGTGTACAAATGTACTCCAAGAAAATCTATATTTGCAAAAACAGCTATAAGAGATCAGTGTTCTCCAAACTTAAATCATTCATGATTAACTTTATGGCTTTTGTTATATTGTGCATAACTGCATTATTTTTTTATTCCTTTTAAAAATTTTTGAAGTAAATTTTATTGCTACTATATATGAAAAATAATACTATTTGCCTTATAAATACATAAATAAAATACAACAATTTTGTTGAGAAGTTAATAACCTCTGTAACTTGCTAAAGACACTTTAGCACCAAGCCATGTAATGGGTTGAAAAAAGACTGAAAATTAATTTAATCCTTGTTTAAGTAGTTCAGAAGTGGGTAAATTAATTGTCCAAATTACTCAGGAAGCACCAGGAGGTTCTTTAAATCTTTTCAATCATTTGGTTAGACTTTTCAGTAACAGTTCATTCAATGGTACTTAAGAATATCAACATACTAAAAGATGACAACAAGGTCTATGAATATATTAACTGGCAGTTAAAACTGCTCTCAGATACTACCAACCATTCCATCCTAACTTGCTAAGGCAAATGTCAAAAATTTTTCAGGTCCTATGATTAAGGAGCCATCATACCTAAGGAAAGATACCAGGGCCTCTGTTGCTCTGAAGTTTTCCAAATTACTTTGCTTCAGAGTAACTTTCAGTCATTCAGCACTATCCTTGAATCTATGAGCAATGAGGGCAAAAATAAAACACAGCAACTATTAAACAAAACTATTTTCCTCCTTAGGCTATTTCAGAGCAGTTCGCCAGGAACCTGTCCAATTTGGAGAAATAGGTGGCCACACCCAAATCACTTATGTCCAGTGGTATGAATGTGGGACTACAATTCCTGGAAAATGGTAGATGCTGCAGTCATGCTCCAAAGTACTTCTGGTTCATTATGGAAAAAAATATTGATGGAAATACTATGGTATTTGTCACATTCATTTAAAGCTATTTTGTTTACTATGTATAAAAGTCTGCAATCTAATAGCAATATTAGATGTTTATTATTAGAAAGGATTGCTGAGAATATTTATCAGGTTTTACAAAGTCATTTTAAGAAAGCAAGATATTGACATTAACAATAACATTTTTAGGGAAGCTGGCTCCCTATTCATGGTATTTTAAGAGATCATTTGTATATTATTTATCACAGTGTTGTAATAATGTTCTGAGATACTTTTATAACAAAATTAACATCAAAAACTTATTATATATACTTTTAAAAAATTTCCTTTTATTGGTGTGTATGCTTCCTATTGGTGAGTTAATTCCATGAAACTCTACTTAGTTTAACTTATTAGATCAAATTATCTTCAGGGGGAAAAATTATATCTGAGGGGAAAAGGTCCTACTATTCACGTTTATTTAAACTTCCATTTTTTACTATGAGCTGAAAAGATTTCCTGAATAGATACTTTCTGTTAATATAATTTTCATAAATTATCTACAAATTACTGAAAAAATTCATTTGAATCAGTAAGTTTCATTTCAGCTAAAAATGGGGTTGATAATCTAATGATATACTTTCAAAAGAAAAGTGTCTGAATATACTATCAAAATTATCCCTTTTAAGCAAGTCTATTTTTATGATTTTATTTGAGCTGTATGCTGAGACTATATGTGAAGTCTGAGCATGAAAAGATAATGCATGATGAGATCTCTACCATTTTACAGACTATCTGCTATATATTTATGCTAGATTTCTATGAATGAATCACAGGGTGTTTTGTAATACTGTTTAACTCAAGCTGTAATAAAAATCTAACTTCATTTTCATTAAAAGGTATTACTTTCCTTCATGCTGGGATAGGAATGCTGCATCATTACCCTCATTTTGTGTGCTTACTTTTCAACATGCTTCATTCTTATCAATGCTAAAATTCTGTATTTTTCAAACAACTATAAATTCTTCAATAAAGAGATGTAGTTTTTTTTAAGACTTGAGTTTATTTCTAAATGGTTCATTAGAAGATATCACAAACATACTTTTCATAAGGAAAAATCAAAGTAAACTAGGGTCTCTGAACCCCCACCCCAATATAACAGTGTATTGTGTGTATGTCCTAAGTTAATCTTCCTGTGAAGTCTATTTTAGTTTGTTTCAAATGAATGGTTGTTGAATACATTTCTTTTAAAGAATAAAATAAAAAAATAAAAAAAAAAACCAGGGCAATTTCTTTCCATGGGAATCTGTAAATTAAAATGTTTATACTTCATTCTAAGACAAAACACCAGTAAGGATTTCTGTTTAAAAACATTATTTTTCTTATGTATGTTAATAACAAAATTAATACAAGACCATGAATGGATTCAATCACCTTTATTAACCTATCAATGTTACATTTTATCCATAATATCTAGTCATTGTCTCTACTTTAGTACATCATGTTAATAGTAGAAAGCCAAGTATGATGGCTTAACCTCAACCTAGCATTTTAATATCCTCTGGACAAGGGAAGCTAGAAAGCCAATCACTTTACACACATGTAAATGTAGTGTTCCAAAATAACTAAAAAGCTGTTACACTTTTAAGCAGGGGAGGAAGAAAAACGACTTTCATTTTGGTCTTTTGTTCTAGCAAATTATACTTTCAATTAACAGCAACAATGATATCAAAAAAATGCTCTGCCTTTTGAATTAACTTCAATACAAATTAAAATAAAATAGTATTGGAGTCTTTTAGGAGACAAACAGCTAGCAGCTACATTCATCAGTGTAGCTGGCCTCCTTATCGATAACCAGGTCCAGGTTGGGTATAGCCCTGACCAAAGGGAGGACGGTTACGTGCATAAGGGTTAGGCCCACTTGGAGGAGGGGTCATGGTACTTCCAGAAGGTGGAGTAAAACTTGGTCTTGGTTGATAAGCCCCAGGTTGGCTTGGAGCCATTCCAGGCTGAGAGGCAGGGGCCACAGTATAATTAGTAGGCTGAGACGTTTGGGTAGTGTAAGGTTGTGGAGGATAACTGCTCGCCTGGTACTGCTGTGGCGGTTGAGCAGCCAGCTGCTGAGGCTGACCAGAAAAGGTAGGAGCCGGTGCCTGGGAAGTTGGTTGCTGGCCATATCCCTGGAACTGCTGAGGTTGTTGGGGTCCAGTCTGCTGACTATAGCTAGCTGAAAAGGTAAAATAACATATACATCTTATTTTTATTTTGATGCAAGTTTTCCAAAGAATTAATCTTACTGTTATGGACCAAAAATGATTAAAAACTTAATAACCTTTTTCACAATACTTATGCAATGAGTATCCATTTATGAGAAATGCAGATTCCATCATAAAATATTTTAAGACCAGTTATTAAAAGAGACAGTTTTCTAGACAATTTAAACCCTCTAATCTTAAACTGAATCACTATATATGTATTTTCATTACAACTGCTCTGCTTTGAGACTATATAATTCTTGAGAGCAATTCCTGCTCTAGCATAATTCCTAATACAGAGTAGATGCTCAAATTTATTAAGGAATCATACTTTCTAGGATGACCAAAAACATAAGAGCTAAATAGTCATTAACAAGGTTTTGAGGAGACCTACTGAACACAGTACCAAATAAAAATACATTGCAGATAATGAACATTTTTATATGAAACAATACTATAAATACACCCTATTATACTAATGAATGCTTTAAAGTTTATTCACTCCAGAGTATCTAAACCATTTAAGAATAAATATTAAGTACCATTTTCAGAAGATTTGGTATCTGATGCTTTTGCCTGACTTAGCAGTACAGCATAACACACAAAATGCATACCATATTGCCCCACAAAATCAACATCTATATTAATTATGTTTTAGGATGTAATTGTTTTAAAACAAAATCTGCTTCACTGAAAACTTTTATCTCTACCATGAAACACACCTGCAGCTACTTGCAATGAAACCTCTCCATTGACTGGAATCCTGTCAGCATTAAATACCAGATACATAAGAAAATTATTAAAATATGTACAACCCTGCATTTAAGGAAAAAAAAAAAAGGATTGAATGAATTTGAGTATATTCTGAACTCACCTTGAACCTGGGTTCAAAATCTACTCATGAAAGAAACCTTTAAGACATACTCCATGAACAAAACTGGAAAAGGTCAGAGGGAAACTGGCAAACCAACAGTGTCAAAGATGGCCCAATGTTACCAACACCACCACTTAACAGTCTCAAGCAGAGTATTAAGTTGACTATTTCCATAATTCTCAATTAAATTCAAATTTATAGGACTAGTGGGATCAGAAATGCAAAGATAATAATCTGAAAATAAATTTTACTAAGAGTGAAGACCCTGACTAAAATTATTAAGAACAAGCTTAGTTGTTAATAAGTCAAATATCCAAAACATTTTACCCATGGTAGCATCTAAATACTGAACTAAAATAAATGTGTGATAAAATCTTGCCATACAATTTCTCCTATCCTCTACATCAAACTTTGAACTTTAAGACTGAGGGGTGCGGGGAGAAAAGCTGCCTTTTCATCCTCACAAAAATCTGAGTAAACAACCAATCCTTAATTGCAGATGAAGAGAGGGACTAACCATAGGGCATTTCAGGCTGAGGTTATGGCTCAGTGGTAGAGCACTTGCCTAGCATGTGTGAAGCACTGGGTTCAATTCTCAGTACCACATATAAATAAACTAATAAAAAAGGTCCATCAAGTATTTTTTAAAACGTCATTTCATTAATAGCCTTTTAATCAAAATATGGCAATGTTTCTATTATGTGTATTAGTTTCCCACTACTACCCCTCCCCTGAAATAAGCAGCTTTTGGTGAAGATTATCATAAATTTTAAGAAATGAACATTCTGGTTTTGGTTTTGGTTTTAAATCAATGAATAAGGGGGCTGGGGTTGTAGCTCAGTTGGTAGAATGCTTGCCTTGTATGCACAAGGCCCTGGGTTCAATCCCCAGCACTACCAAAAAAACCAAAATTAAATCAATGAATAAGAAAAGCATCATATGGTCCACAAAGTCTAAGATATTTACTCTTTAACCTTTTATAGAAAAAAAAAAAATCTGCCAACTCCTGGTCTAGACTAGAGAATGCAGAATCCATAGGGAAGTACTTATTTGCAAGGTCAAAAGGGCTGGTTCTAGTCCAGTCTCCCCACCAAATGGCTACATGTCTTTTGCAAGTCTTAACCTCCTTAAACCCTATTTGCCTCATCTGTAAAAAGTGAGTGGGACAAATCAGTGGTGCCCTAATGCTGATTACACATGACTTGTGATGTTTTTAAAATACCAAAGCCTGAGTCCAACTACTAAACAAATGAAACAAAATCTATGAGAATGGGATCCAGATACCAAGAAGCTATTCAGGTGATTCTGAAGCAGAGTAATGGCTGAAATCCCTATATTAAATGAGCACATATTTTTAGCTCTGATATTCTACTATTAAATTCACATAAATCATATAACTTAACACTTTTTAAATTTAAATAACTAAAAATAAACTTTCCCTTACTATAATCTAAGCTTAAATTCATTCCATCTCTTTAATACAAGTAAAACTAAGAACATGATAAAATATGCCAAGCTCCAATTAATGACAAAATTTTATTGCCTATGTCAGGGGTCAGCAAATTTCTTCACAGGAAAAAGAATAAAGCCCTCGTACCTGTGAAAGGGTCAGATAGTAAATATTTTAGACTTTGTGGACCACCCTGTTTCTGTTTATAGTTGTCTTTGCCATTATAATGTAAAAAATAGCAATGGATAATACAGAAATGGTGGTGAACTTTCCTAATAAAACTTCATTCACAAAAAGAGCAGTTTGTTGACCCTTGCCTCTAGTTGGTAATTCAAAACTCCATAAAATTTAGACAAGATTCAACTTACATAATTATAACTGGAATTTTGATACTTAAATGATATCTACTTAAAACAAACAAAAAAATGTTAAGTTCCCTGAATGCCATTTAAAATAATTTTATTTTTATGACTTATTTTCTGGTATTCCTACACACCTTACAGAAACAAACACCTAAGTGGCTTAATTTAGTTTATTTAATCACATCACTTTTCCAATGAGGAAACCGTTAATATTCCTGTGGATACTGAGATATGCCTGAATTATGTGTCGCACATAAATTGGGGAAATATTTTCCATTTCTTTTTCAGTTCTATATCATCTAAGTAAGAGATAAACTGATCATGTTAGAAATATTTTGTATTAAAAGCTTTTCTATACTACAAGTTAACTATAGAATCATCTGCTAAGTCTTATTGGACCCACTGAAAAACTGAAATATTGACTTACAAAACATTTATGTACACATTTTAAAATAAAACAAATATTTCCCCTAATACTTAATTCTTCCTATAACAATGTAAATATTACAAATCAAGTATATCCAAGGAAGAGCTTAAAAATTTCATGAGTACAGAAACAGACCAAAAACTCTAAGCCAACAACTCCCTTTCAACACCTGCTCACCTGAATACTGAATACCATACTGCTGGGGTGGCTGAGGTGGAGCCTGAGGTTGTTGGGCACCGTAGCCGGCTTGCTGCTGGTACTGCTGGTACATCTGACCTAAAACAGAAAACACAAGACAAAGAGGCAGGTTTAATTTGGCAGGGAGTAATTTTTTAAGGCACATTTACATTTTCTCTCCATCCAAATACATAAACACACTGAATAATAAAATACTATGTGTTTGTTGCTCTTTAAATGTCTGTAAAGGAGAAGAATGAAGAATTTGCAATTGCTTTGCTGTAGGATAAACTGAAGATAATTACTGGCAGCAAAAACAAATGTTTTTAAATGAAAATGCAAATCAAATAAGTACTGCCAATGTTCAGTAAATATCAAGTGAGTCAAAAAAATCAATAAAATAAATATGAGGAAAAAATAGGTCCCAAATCTCTACCAAAGTGCTATATTTATCCTCTAAAAATTTCATCATCTATTACCATTATGAATGAACCCTTTGGTAGCAAGGAAATAAATAACAACTTTCATTCTGGAAATCAGATATCTTTGGCATTTACCAACAATTTGATTTCTATGACTATGTAATATATGAGTATTCTTTCAATGATATGGAATCTGAGAAAGTCTAGATAGTTCTTTATTGCATGGCAGAACTCTTTAACAGTGGGAATGTGTTCTTGCACACACAATCCTTTTTGGGTCAGTAGACCACAGTGACTCTAGAGAAACCTGTTAGATACTTACAACCTGTAAGTTTTCAAGCAAAAAAAGATTTATTGCTTATGTCTTTATCATCTCTACTTCTTTACATTATTTTAATAGATTCAACTAGATCTAATGCTAGAGTAGCAAGAAAATTTGCATTGTTAATATCCAGCATTAAATCATATGTTGGCTTAGTCTTTATAAAATATTCTAACCAACTGCTATTAATCAAAAAGACTATGGATAACCAGATACTCATGGCAGAAAATGAGATAAATACTGGGGGGGAAAAAAGAAAATAAATTACTAGTGCCACTTAAATTTAAGTACAGCAAGCAGCTAGCACTTATAGGCTTAGTTAAAGAAATGGAGCCCAGGGATAGTTGTGGCTCAGTGGTAGAGCACTTGTTTAACAAGCATGAGGCACACTGGGTTCAATTCTCAGCACCGCATATAAATAAATAAAGGTCCACTAAAACTAAAAAACAAAAAAAAAAAAAAGAAAGAAGAAAGAAGCAATGGAGCCCACTGTACTGTCTGCTCAGCCCGAGGGTGTCTCTAAGGAAGCACTAAATGAGTTATGATTTTATGTAGTTTATTTCCTAGCAAGCAGTTGTATCTTTTTTATAATGAAAATAAAATCTGCTCAATTATTTTTAGGCTATTAATAGTCTTTCCAAATACAACAACAACCAAAAAAATTTCACAAGTTTCTTAAATGCTTTATTAATGGTTTAGATTAATCAAAAGCATAGAAGATAGCACAGAACTAAATTTAGATACCATCTTAATCCTGGATTATATTTCATAACTAAATTTTAGAATAGAAGTGACCAGAATCTAAAATAAGAAGGTAACCAGGTAAAGAAATATAACTAAGAGTAGAAATATGTATAAGTGAACTTAGAAATCAGAATGATTAACTTTATAATGCGAAAATATGCAAATAAGCAATAAATCCATGAAAAAAAGTTTAATAACTTCATAGGGAGGAAGAGCATGAGAAGAAAATTACCACTAAACAGGGCAGAGAGGTGGGAGGGAATGGGAGGAAGAAGGGGAATTGCACGGAAGATGGAAGGAGACCCTCATTGTTATACAAAATACATATATGATGGTGTGAGGGGGAAGAGAAAAAGAAAGAGAGAAATGTGTCACAGTAAATTGGGTAGAGAGAGATGATGGGAAGGGAGGGGAGGGGAGGGGAGGGGAGGTTAGGGAGGGCAGCAGAATACAACAGACACTAGTATTGCTGTATGTATATACGTGGCTGTACAACCAATGTGATCCTGCAATCTGTACACATGGAAAAATGAGAATTCATACCCCATTTGAATCAAATGTATGACATGTCAAGATCATTGTATTGTCTTGAACAACTAATAATAATAATAATAAAAAAGATTAAGCAACTTACCTGAAATCAATAGCTAAAAATAGAACTATCAATAGCTAAAAACCATCACTGGAATCCAGGCATATCTCCAAAACTAGTGGTACAAAGTTTTGTACACTTTAACCCATTTAATAAAAATATTAACATAGGCATCATCAAAATGGATGAGATTAAGGCTCCATGTAGTAAACTGTTTTCATCATTGACACTATAAAGAATTCACATTCAAAAAGCATTAACTATTTTCCTCAATAAAAATGTACAGTACAACTCTGGATGTTTTCCTTCATCCCTTCCTTCTTCCTTCCTTCCTTTTTAGTATGTTCTTCTGAACTGCTACAAACCCATTTGAAAAATATCACTCCTAAGGTTAAAAATTTCAAAGGTTATTACTATCTTTGCAAAACATCCCTTTACTTTTCTTAAACCCGTTTCATGCAAGACAAAATGGGACTTTCTCTGTCACTGTATTCTGAATTTAAGAATGCTGTATTTTTTTTTTTAAAGGAGGAACACCTTAACATACTTGAAAGAAAAAGAGTTAAGGATATATTAAGTGAAAACAGCATGGCGTAGACATGGTTCATAGTAAGCAATGTTTTGAATACTAAATAAAATAATAATAATAGCAAAGTTTTATGCTTATCCAGTATATTTTCAAAAGGAATCAATGACACAATTAAGTAAAGATTACCTAGGAAGAAAAAGACTAAAAGGTGAGACTTTTGGGATTGTACTGTTATAAAATGTAGTAGCCAGTGGAGACCTTCAATGACTTTTGCACATGCAAAGCATTTGACAATGGCTTGGTATTCTTTACCTTTTCAGAAATTAGAAAGTTTAACTCCGTAATCAAAAAACAAGCAATAAATACTCTCTTGTGTAGTCCCTCCTACACTGAAGGGGTTGAGCTATATATACAACAAGAGAATATTGCAGAAATGACAATGATATTTCTGAGGGCAAACCATAAGAGTCATCTTCCACTATCATTCTCTCTTGATCACTTGTTCTGCTAGAATAAGTCATCCAAGCTGCCCTACTGAGGAGGTTCACAAAGTGCTTGTAAGAAGCTAACCCTCCAGTTCTGGATAAGTTTCAGATGACTAAAGTCCCAGCAGTCATCCTGACTGCAACTTCATAAAAGACCCTAAAACCCCAACTACTCAGCTAAGCTATTCCCAAATCCCTGACTCTAAAACTACAGGAGATAACCATGCTGTGGATGTTGTTTTCAGCATCTTCATTCGGGGGTAACAGTTACATAGCAATAGATAATTAACATAAGTAGTTTTTACTTTGGTGCTAAAAAATATCGTTAAGTGTTGAAGTCACATAAATTGGGCTTCAATTATTCTATGTGTCTCAAAATTTACAAAATGAAAAGCTACTTAGTTATATTCTTTTTGACCTTTTAATTTTGGTTTAGCAGTATTTTCTGGTCTTTAATGATTTTTAGTCCTTTTCTCACTAGCATTTATTTTTTGGCAAATTACACTTCGTCTTCCAGTAACAGAGTTAATGGCTTTACCTAAAGAAGGGTAACTTTGTCTATTTTGTTTTTTTTAAATGATATTCAAGACAGACACATGCTACAAAATGATGCACTGGTCAATGATGGACTGCATATAGAATAGTGGTCTCACGTGTATATCACCAAGTGATGTCATAGCCATCTTAGTTTGTATGAACACGCTCCATGATGTTCATACAAGGACATAATTGCCTAATGATGCATTCCTCAGACCCCATTGGTCAGACACACATAACTTATTTTATTAAGCCTTTTTAATAAATAACATATTAAGAGTACAATCCTTGGAGAAATTTTTATAAATTCAAAATTACAAGTCCAAGGTCCTTTTTATGGTATTTAAGTGACAACTCAAAATTATTTATTTTGGATTATTATATAAAAGATTATTGTGTTAATCAGTTATAAGTAATAAGATTTTTATATTGATAATTCTGGCCAATTATAACCAGCGGCTGACCTAAATAACTGGCAATGTCAGGGACTCATACATCAAAAAGTCTACACTTCATCATTTATCTAAAGTAATACTATCCAATACAATAGCCACTAGCCACCTGTGGCTGAGCAACAGAAAAAGAGTTATAGGATATATTAAGTGAAAACAGCATGGTATAGACATGTGGGTAGTCTAAAACCAGTTTATAATAATATATAATTTATTTGTACTCAAATAAATTATATATTATTTGAATACATTTCAAATTGGTGTCACATCCCATATTTCCAATATGCAATACAAAATACATGTTTAAATGAGCGGTTACATGTTAATATACAAATATAATGGGCTAAATAAAATGTATTACTGAAATTTTATTTTTTTTTAATTTAACTAATAAAAAAAATCTAATCTACATGTAGTTTCTATTATAATTCTTTGGGACAGCACTAACTTAGAAATCAGAGCCGTTTACTAATCTTTTTGACTGGTACCATATATTAAAAACTATATAATTTTTATACTGCATAAACATAAGCTAAAATTAACAATTGTGTCAAGGCATATATTTAATGCCACTCCAAAGCAATTAAGTGCATTCAAATGGTGTCCATCTGCTATCTCTATTCCCAACATCATTTGTTGGGAACAGAGGTGAGAGAGAAATTTTCCACTGTACATTACTTTTTTATATTCCTAAAATTTTACCTGTTTAAAAATTTTCAATGAACCCCCTCATCAAAAGATAATTTGAAATAGTATTAGTGCAGCCCTAAGTCCCATTCCTTTATTATTGAACAGGAAACCTTATTTGGTTTCATTATCCTTGTAAATGCTGTTTCACAATACTATTCACTGCTTCAAATAGGAATTTTTTTAAGCAGATGGTTTTAGTAGTGCACCTGATATAGCAGTTAAACTGTTATAATATCCAAACTCTGCTTCTGCCTCCCATTTCAGCCCACCTCTGCTTCAGTTCTAGTTTGTTCTGGTTTTGGAAGCTGTACTTGGGTGCAGATAAA